GTACAATAGATCGTATGAATAATGTATGAACGGCTAGTATTCGAACGCGTAATGACGATTTAAATTAAATCGACGAGAACGTGTGTGTTGTTTTGATTGACATTAGAATTGCTTGACATTTACCATTATGTATACCGTATACTTGCATATGTAGGTATAACATAAATTCTAATTATGATAGGAAATAATCTATACCATCATTTAAATACGAGAAATTATAAACAAAACTAAGGCTATACAATTAGATGATTGGTATCTACTGGCAGTGCACGACGCTCGAAATATTATTATGTAATAAAATGATGTCTTTTATTTCTCATGCGTGCGGTAACGAAAACGTATGTATCGATAAACTTAAGGTGGGTTAGGTCTTAATACACATTTAACAAAAGAGCATCAGCATGGGTACCTCTATTACATGTACTAATTTCAAAGCCAGATAGTGGTTTGCATTTTTTTTTGTTGAAGATTGAGATGTGACAATGATAATTTTATGAGTTCATTATCTCACAAGAGTCGGTAACATGCCAGTTATCTTTCTGGCTATTACACATTCTGTGCCTCAGATGTTGTAATCGTCTGTGGGCTGTGATGACCGCTTTATCCTAAAGCGCCTGGTGTACCTTCAGTAAGACAATTAAACTCCTCAAATAAAAAAATATAATATTTATTTAGCTTCGGGTCTCGTATTAAGTAATTTGTCGTATATAGAGGTTCTAAAAAAATTATTGATCTGCAGAAATCCACAAAGTACTAACAATTTATTTCGAGTTGCGACTGTTTATGAGAAAAGGTAGCTAATATAATTTTATGGATCTAAATTTTATTCGGGTTTTAACAAGAAAAGAAAACAAAAAACAATTTTTGCTTTTATTTTTTTTCACTTTCTTTTAATGTGTGTATATGTCGCCATTAGGTCTTGGTTGATTAACATTTTTTATAATATTTAGTAGTTGATTCAATAAGATTAAAATCAGTCGATAAATGAATTGTGTATTGGATAATGACAAGTGTTAGAATTGGTACGTTGGCATTCATAGTACCATTATGTAGTACATTTTACATAATCGAACTGCCAGTATGTAGTCAATGGTCGATAAAATTAATGTTAGAATTAAAACTATAACTCAGTATTTTTTAAATGTGTCCTCGTATTATAAATAAAATTAGTGTGCACGCTGTGCCGATCCCAAATAATAGGAAAAGACCGGAAGGACGATGAATAATAATAAAGTTACTCATTTGTGACGTTCGTTGGCGGTGATAAATTACGTGTAGGACTGTAATTCTATGTCTACTGTTCAACGATAATAACGTTAGCGACATTATAAAAAAATAGTTCCCTTTTCCCTTTCATTATAGCTATGAAGCACATGTGAACCATAGACGTGTTGGCGATCGGAATAAGTAGATACTTCTGGTAACTGTTTCATCTTAGTCATTCGTCATATTTATGATGAGATCATGTATTTGTTTTCGATTCTTTAGTTTAAAGGTAACTTTGCTAATTATAATCAATGTTAGTTCAATATTATCTGTGAAGAACTCCAACCTTTCCACTTCGCATGAACCCCTAGATAATTCGATTTCAATAGGGTGATTTGTTATATTTAACAAGCTGTCCAATTATCTAGTGAAATTGGGTCGTGTGTCTTGACATCTTTGTACTGACGTTATGCTTTGTTCCTTTAGTACCTACCTACTTGAGATACACAGAAGACGAAACATAAATGGTGACACTTTATATTCTTACTTCGTCACCGCACATATATTCAGATAGGACGGACAGATGGTTGGCCGCATTTGAATAAGTATAGATGTATTTATATATTATACTACGTTTTACGAAAATAGTTATTTGGATTGAAAACGATATTCAATATAATTACGTTCATTGAGAGTTCAGTTTTAAACATCATAGGAACTTGTTGACGGAGACTTCATGTATTATAAATGTACGACCTAGATATTTACTATTTCACTGATTTCCTTATCTATCTAGATATATTAGTTATTTGTAATAGGGTGATAGGAAACTTTACTGGTAATATTTATGGTAATTATTCACGCTCGTTTGACTGTTGCGTTAAGGCGTGGTCAGTAATTGTAATGTTGCAGGTTATTTAATAGTTATATATATATATATATATATATATATATATATATATATATATATATATATATAAATATAAAATATAATTATATATATAAGTAATATTATATATAGTATATTCTACAGCCAATCTAAAGCAGTGAGATAGAATATGATAAGCGGGTAATATAGTGCAGGAAAGTTGTGTGCAAGATAAAAAAAAATTTAGGGTAAATACAAAGTAAACAGAATACTAATAAAATAAACATACATACAAATAAAATTGTGATGTCTGTCAAGTAATATTGTGAATAAGTTCATACATAAGTTACTATGTCAAAAATGGCTCTTGCAGTCTAAGGAGTTTTGTTATAACTAGCATCAAATAAAAAAAAACCATCAGGTAAATTGCTTTGATCTAAATTTGATATACATAATAAATAATTACATACTACATATTTATATTTTATGGTATTCCTAGGGACCTCTTGATGGGATTGAAATATTAAAATAACGTAGATAAAAACCATAGGTAGGTAATCGTAGAAATTATAATAGATTTCTCTGTGACATGATAATAATACTCTTATCTAGGAATAATACCATTTTTATACCATTGAGAATGGTAAACATGACGGCTTATTGATATAAAATGGTAACCATCGTCTATAGATATGAGCAATACAATGGACGTTCGTAAATAAACTGATCCGCGCTCTTATATTTCTTTCATTGGAGAATGTGCTGCTATACTCCTAGACTTTGCACTACAAGAAACTTAGGCCTACCCGAACTATCATACCATCCCGTATCTATCATACTAAGAAATTTTGTTAAATGATTTCAATTTTGCCATAAATAAAATGGGATCGGAACACCATCTATTAAATGCATAAACAATTCTCGAAATCGGGTCAGAATTAGCTAAAATGTAGAGTAATACCGTCAAACTGATAACCCCCTCTTTATGAAGTTGTATCTGATTGGTAGTTACTTTGATGTGGATATAATTCACTAGTAACTTCTCGATGACCCATTCCTTCGTATCATTCGACTACCAGTATACATTTGCTAATTAGGTAGTTGATACAGTTGATACTTGTTGCAAGTACCCGTTGCGTGTAATCGTCGTTCATAACTTTGGCCTTGCATATTTGCATTTGCATCGTCTAATAATCTCATCTAGTCCATGTGGTATGGCGTGATCAAGAGATTTAAATAATAGCGATGATTAGGTACGTATCTAAGCAATGAACCCGTATTTTACAATCGCCCATTATTAAATAAGTGAATCAGGTACAGGCGGTGCTGCTTTATTGTAGATTTCCATTTTTCGGTTGATGTTCTATTGCCAAAGTTGCCAGATATGAATTTTGATTTTAACCCGAACGTCGAATATGTTTTTCTCCAAATCGATACGATTTCCAGGATCATTACTCAATCACAAATTTGTATCGTTTTTACATTACGTTTTGGCATGTGCCATAACGACGACGGCAGAATGACGAAAGGCCATTCCGTTTTTCTACTTTTACCTTATCTTACACTCTCCTTATCTCATCCTTTGTTTGCTATCGCTATTCATATATTTTATCGTATTTACTTCTATATACTTTACCATTACCAAAATTTTCAAAAAAATATTTAAATTTCTCCAAGTTTATGTCACCTTTCCTCAAATATTTTATTCCTCTAAAATTTCGCGAACAGAAGAACTTTTACTCAAAATTGCGAAAAAAGTACCCAATCTGGCAACGATGGCTCTAACATACAATCTGTGATGTGCATTACAAACGTTTGTAATGTCATGAATATGTTTCAATTAGTCCCGATGTTTATATGCAAAATGCGTATTTACAAAAAGCTATTGTTTACTATGCTACTAGGTACCTTTGGCTCACTTGCGGTGCTATTCCTGAGGTCACTACTGTTTAGTGTTACCGAGTCGAGAAGAATGAAGAGTACCATTGAATTTGGTTGTGTGTTCTATTCTGTGATAAACGTGGTACTGTTCATGGCTATAGGCGACAGTTATCTATATATATCAGCTGGCCACCAAATTTTTTACTTGTAGATAAGAAAAAAATATTGACGAGTTACCCAAAATTGATCACTAGTTATAATGCAAAGTAATACTTTAACCTAATCCCACAATATTGGTTATTTTTAATTAATTTATATTATTACATGCTATGGCAGAGTAAGTTATTAAGTCCTTGTGAATGGGCGTTTGTTAAATCGATACGGTCTACCATCATTGCTGTATACGTGAACGGTATGCCATGTGACGTATGTACGTACAATTTTATAATTGCAATTGGACGACAACAACTAGTTTTACAATTACATCGTGTGTTCAATTACTAGTTCATTTGTTATGAGTTGTTTTTAGTATGTATTTTATTTATAGGTTTATGTCAGTTTCATTCAAGTTATTGAAATAAAGGAATTATTGTTATTATTTTGTAATCGATTTCAAAAAGGAAAAGTTTCTAAACTCATTTTATGTTCACTAATTATGAAATGGTATTTTAACCACCTGTTTGATTTTCGAAATTGGTTGAAAAGTGTCTTCGGCCCGTAGATACCAATTTGATGACAACGTTGAAGGTGTTTTTAGAAACAAAAACGATTGATTCCATATCACTATCATGATTGCTCATTAATTAGCGTTTTTATCTGATTTTAATTATAACAGGCATTACTATTTGATAGACGGTTTAATATCTATAGTTTTTATATTTAAGTTGCTTATGTGTAATGTGCCAAGTTCTATCTAGTTGTATTAAAATATTAAATTAAATTAACGGACTCGATATCTACGCGATGGTACAAGTAACTATTTGGAAATATCAAGTGAGGTTGAAACGAAAGGAAAATGTGACCATAAAATTAAAATGAATTTCAGATTCGTAAAATGTTCACTGAAAATAGTTTACGATCTACCAACATTACCATGGCATGTGTTCGGTGACCGGAGCCAAGAAACTTCTTGTGATATTACTTAACCTATGATATATTTTAAATAATTTATCATGTGACTTATTGTGATATAATGTGTATATAAAGTAACTTAGTGCCTTAGATACTACCGTTTAAAACATTTATTAATAGTTTTGGATAAAGTAACAAAGGCATATGCTGTTCAATGGATACCGAAATAAAAGGTAATGTTAAAGTTAAGAAGAACGCACGTAAAAATGAGAAGAAGAAAAAAATGGCGAACCCAGATACAGACGTGACTTTAGACGAACTGTGTCAACAGATGACGAAATTAGCTGACGGGGACGATAGTACCTCTGTAAGCTCAACTGATAGTGAAGATTTAGTAAATGCTTTTAACTACAATACCATCACGTCATTAGCAGCTTTAAAAGATATAATTCAAGGGAACAATAACGACACTCCGGAGACGGATAGTTTTTTCCAACACTACTTTATGAATCATTGTAATAATCTTTCGAGTCATAACTCTACTACAAGTTCACCGTTTCCGTTTCCTGAGAGGCGGCGTTTGTCTCAATGTCGCGAGGAAGACGAAGATGATGAAAGAAAAGAGAGTGATAGAAAGGTAGAAGTGGGAGGCCCTAATATAAGTACAGTAGAAAAACAAATTGTCGATGCCGAAGAGAATATAAAGTTTGGCGACAATTCTATGTCTACTCAAGAGCATGAGCCATCAAAAAGAACAGTGATGGGCGCACGTCATAAATTTCTTGTGACTACAACGGAACCACCTCCTGCGGAGCCAGTCGAACGGGCTTTGCGTTCCCAAGCTCACAATGCACACACTGTTCATTTTGGAACTAAAGGCGCTGAAGAGCAGCGACCAAGTGTAAGATCTATTTTTCAAAGACAGAATCTCCACCGATCCAAAAATTATTTTGACAGTAGTTTAATAGAAATTAGGTCTACAGTAGACGGAGTACCTACAAGTTCAGAAGATATTTGGGTTAAAAGAACAGACGATAAGGACGTAAGTGTAATTGTTGATATATACAGATCTTAAGGTAAATCACTGCAATTTTATAAAGTTGCGGTTTAGTTAATGATCATTTATTATATGTTATCAATATGCTTTTCATTGCTTCACTTACTTGCGGTCAATAAACCTATGGTGGATATTACAATTATTCGCTGAAATATATGATAAGGTTATGCAGCATATAGAAAAAACATATATAAAATGTATTTTAAGGAATGTTCTCATACATATCATTATTATTATGTTCTTTAATTTTATTTCAAAGGATTACAGTGATATCTTGTATATAATGTTTAAAGAATCGCTATAAATACGAAGTATTTTTATTTTACTAATTATTAAAAATTATTTAATAGGTTGTTCAGATAAGTGTTGAAATAAATTGTAACAAAAGTAGTATCTACTTTTGTATATTTAAACAATGCTATTAATGATGCACAACAATCTTTTACAGTTTATAAATGTATTTACTTATTAGGTATAGGTAAAACTTTTACAAAAATGACAATAAAATTCTTTTAATTAATAACAGAACTTTTTATGTAAAATCAAGCTATTAAATATACTCAAGGCCATGATTAAATATATTATTGTGTTAATAATACACTAAGATGCTTAGATATTAAAAACAAGTAATAAATATTTTTTTCATAATATTGTTATTTTACAGCCTTTTAAAAAAGGAGCATTAGCTGTTACGATTGAAGAAAATGAAGCTCACGCCCAAAGCAAAGAACATATTGGGGAAAAGAACAAAGAACCGAAACGGGTGCGCTCTGGGACATGGGGTTCGCAAACGAATCGTGTAGAAAAAGAAACAGTGAAGAAGCCACAATCTCGCAAGGAGAAGGAAGTACGAAAGAGTAATGAAGATCGACGGCAAAAGCGAGGTGGGTGATAATATTTTTCTTTCTTTGTATAAAATCCCATTTGACCATACTATTCCGAGCGAAAATATAGTATGGCCTATGAATGCGATTATTTGAAGAGATGATCGTTTTACAATGGATTTTTAATGGGAAGAAAATGGGACGGTTACCATGCTTGTGTTATCTTAGTCTACGCTGGCAGGATACCAGTGAATGATGTGTACGTAAATAGGTGAGGATGAAATCTACTTAATAGGCCCATTGTGATGAATTTGCTAGTAATACTCTACGATGGTTTTTAGGTGGACTACGAGTTCGACCTGATAGGGTATATTGCTAGCAATGGGGCTGTTAGACTCCGTAAGGTACTAGCAATCTTTCTTTGTACCTCACAACGGTTGGTCATGTTATGTAAATATTTATTGTTATTTTAAATTATGGCGCAAGATTTAAAATTATCAGAATTTTGAACTGGTGGCATAGGTCATCGTGCACAGTCAAGCATACAGAATTAATCATAATGCATAAATAATTGCAATATGTACGGTAATAATATTGAGTGAAAAAGTGTTGAAGTCTGGCGACCTATGTCTTATCTGTCAATTTTCATACACTAACTAATTAAAGGATTACACAATGTATATAAATTAAAATTAAATTAATTTCCATAGTATATGGACTGCTTGAGATTAACAAGGATTAATTTATCTTAAATGTTTGTAATAATCCTGTTAATGCTTATAATGAGAGATAAAAAATCATCTTTAAATAAAACGTCTGGGGTGTTAGTTACTTTACAATATTTTCGAATGATTAATTTAGAAACGGATCTTATGGAAAACTATGGATTTTGTTAAACAAAACAAATGACTAACATTAAAAATATTGATATATTACGTAGATTACACTGATGGTGACAGCAAATTTTAGCATTTTACGTACTAAATATCGTATATATGTATGCTTTTTTTTTGAGGTTCTATCCGCGTAGAACTCGTTATCTTTCGTTCTTCTGGTAGTGTTGAATTTTTTTTAGTATCCACTTATGGCATGAACATTGTGCACAATTTCGTATTTCTAAATTCAGCATAGGACTTTGATAGATACTCACCTTTAGCAGTTCTGAAATGATTTTGATATTTATTTTTGCAATCGACAGAGTTTACTCTCGTGTTGGTCTAATAAAAAAATTATCATTATTATAGGCAATGAAAATGTTATGGTCTTTTTTTATTAACGTTACAGTTAATAAAAAGATTATCCTGTTCTTCCGGATGATATTCAGGGGCATTTGTTGATTTTCAAAGTCGTGTCCACATTTTACTAATATATTTATAACTTTAAGATGACAATAGACGATTATAAATTTATTGTCACTACTATTACATAACCTATATGGTAGGTTTTACTGCTACATTTTAATCTCTATCACATTTAAACACATACTAGCGATGACAATCTATAATAATCTCTATGGATCATTAAAGTTAAAGATAATTCTATTGTCAAACAAACAAAACGAAACAGTTTGCAGGTAGTAAATATAGTTTTATTATCAGTACTAGCGACCCGCCCCGGCTTCGCACGGGTGCAATGCTGATACTAAATATACCTACCTACTACAGAATGTCCATCTTAACATTTACAGCTTTTTTGTCATTAGACAATACAAACACGATAAAGTGCTATAGGGCGAAGTGCAGCCCTCGACGCGCTATTATATAGGCGCGCGCCGTCGGCTGGGCCGGTACCGCCGCTCAGCTATGTCCCTGCATTTTAAATCTGTAATATCTTTGGAAATATTCATTTAAATTACATGCTGTAAAGGGCCATATTGATCTATATTAAATAGACAATGTATTTAAGATACTTAATTCGATAAAAATTAATGTTGTATTGCTTAAAATCATTTCGTAAATAAGCTTTTTTCCCGTAAAATGTAAATGATAAAAAATTGTTATTGTAGGTTATCCTTAAGAGATAGACATATACCATCGTGGACTTTTTTGTTGACCTTTTTAAAGTGTACAATACTGTAGTACATTATTTTGATTTATCTTGTGAGGTTCAGCCAGCGTTTGCAAAGTAATCGCAAAAAATGTGTTCATTTACGACATCACAATATAGAAACTTTTAAATTTATCAGCGTTTCTCTACAATATTATGCATGTATTATACATATAAACCTTCCTCTTGAATCACTCTATCTATTAAAAAAAAAAAACGCTCTAAAATTCGGTGCGTAGTTTTAAAGATTTAAGCATACATAGGGACGTACAGACAGCGACAGCGACTTTGTTTTATACTATATAGTAATATTGTAGATAGGTACCCACAATGTTTGCCAAAGAGTGCGCCTACATATTTGAATCTTGCTCACAAGATCTGGCGATTCGCCAATACATCTAGGTTTAAGGGTATATACAAACACTGTTGCTCTTTTGAGATAATTTTTTATTACTGTTATAAAATGACAAGCTTACGGCCTTCGTCATGCAGGTAGTATCATACATTATTGTAGTATAGATGAGTACATTATATTGTGATACCTATAGTTGCTCTCAGATGTAGTGTTACGATTAGAGATTTTTTTATATTACAACTACAGACACTGTTTTTTAATATTCACCAATTGAATAGGTGTCATAATATTTTATCGTCTTAAGCATTTAGAGTTTGTTTTATATTTAGATAATGGTTTGCTTTCTTATATATACACCTGTTTATAGTAGTATATTATGTTTTTAATTTATATTATCTTTAGGTAATGACTTGTTTTAATTATAATAGATGCTTGAGTCCGCGAATTGTTTCTTAACAAGTGTTTTCGTATAGAGTATATTATTGGAAACTATTCAACATGTACATAATGCACATCGAATAATAAAAGTATTAAAAAACGACATTAAGTTAATGATTACCAATGTCATACTCGTAGATGTTTGACGGAAGTGTCAAAACAGCCGTGTAATTATCGTCTCACACGAGAATGGATTATTATTTTTAAGTAAATTTTTTTGATTTCGGTAGAAACAAAATTGCTTTTTATAAAGCTAATCTCCCTGTTTTTAACCATAAAAAAATGTCACATCTCATGTTGACTATTAAATCTGTTATTAGAAAGCTTTCTCTGTTTTAGTAATTACTCAATTACTGTATATTTATTTCTTGTAATATAATTACAATGTAACGAATATTTTTAGTTTAAAAATAATTGTGACTTGGCAATCACGCACTATAAAAACCATACGTTATAATAAAGAAGTCTTTGCGGTACTTAAAAATTGACCGAAATATACTGAGGTATTTATTTCAGTTTATTTTGTACTAGATATTTTTGTCTTTGAAAATAAAATCACTACATTAGTAAACTTTTAGTAATTTAATAGCTATTTGTAAGGTAAACAATGGAAATCCAATGCATGAGGTATTGTGCTTCGTAGCGCGATTACAAAGTTATAATTTTCTTTTTTTACGTAACGGTCTACTTTTTGTAAAACTTGAAATTTTAGGAAAGCTGACACTCCTTCTGATGGGAACTATTACCTATCGCCATGAACACAGACTAATACAGAAAAATTAAAATGTTAATGACACTTAGTAATAAAGCGTCATGTCATTGTACCTCGTAATATCACGTATTGTGTATCATGAGTTGGAAAATATTGATTACACATAAAATTTATAATTGGTCTTTTTGAATGTTATATATATTTTTGTATAGGCCTATTTATATTATAGACGTAATATACCGTACTATATACTAGCTTATAATCTCAAAAACGAGACATGAAAGTGGTTATATTAGTGGGCATGATTTATGAATGTGTGCACGTGATAGTTCTAAGTTTATATGGATTTGAAGTTAAAAAATAGCGAATATTCTCTATTTTTTATAATTTTAATTTATTAAAGCTCTGAAAGCTTTCTTTGGATTAAGTTATATATTTTTTTTTCTATCAAAATTTGTACTAAACATTTACACCAAACCAATTTTGAGCTTACATTTTGTAGGTAAGTGTCCTCCTTGTCTATTTTACTGTGACATATATGTTTTGCACTAGAACTATCTAGTGCCCAGGATACGAACGGAACTTTCAGCAATGTGCAATTTATAACCATAAAAAATCATGTCTTCAGTCAGTCATCAAATCGGTTGATTGTATATCATACAATTAATTGCTTCGACTAAAGCGGACAGGATCGTTATTGTTACGCAATTGATTTGGCGAGAACACTATCGTGCCTCCAGTTTTTCATGAGGAGGTCGGCTGAGGTCAGCAGTCCGTCATCGCTCAAGTTGAATGCGTTATCCACTTGGAACTACAAAGCAGTTACCTTTAATAAGAATTTGACCTTGATGAAATTGTGATATAGTACCGATCTGTATCATTTAAAAATTTACCACCTATTATCAACAAAGCGTACCTATAATTTTTGCTAACGTTAGTATCATTTGGCAGGTGTATCTAAGATTTGATTTTCGTCAATGATAAGTTACTAATTCTAAGTCGTGTCACTTTCGACATTTATTCCTTTAACTTATCACACCCAGTACGTACAGAAAAAAATGTTTCATTATTAAAGCTTCTATAATTTTTTATAACGATATGTAGTAGAGTAAACAACGTCGATATTTTGAGGTAGCAACAGTTATATAAAGCAAAAACCGTTTTATTAAATTTAATTTACTTAGTGCCTCATAATGTAATGTAATGTAAATAAAATAATAAAAAGTAATATTTTACCTATATAATAATTAACATCCATTATACTTGTATAAGATTTTTCGTAAGCTTATAGTAACTTTTTGTGGTAGCTTTCTGTAATAAAAATAAATAAATAATGCTTTTTATTTGTCCAATAAATAAATAAATATAAAATAACGTAATAGCACGTTTTTATTTGTAATGTAGTATTTAAGTTAATGTAGCGTGCCCGTCGTGCTTAGGACTTAACTGTTAATAATCTATATTTTTTTAATAAAACACTATATACTATATATTATTGATCCTAGTATT